GCGTTTCCTCGGCGGAATCAAAATGACCCATTTCTCGTCCACAATGCGACGCGCGACAAGAAATGGATTCTTGACGACAGTGGCTAGACGACGACGGGCCCAGTGATTTTACCTCGATGAGCACATGTGCAGCACATCGAAAAATCGAAATTGCACAAAAGGGGAGCTTTCTTGATCGTTTAGTGGTTTGCCGCTGGTTTAACCTATCAATACTTAGTACCGATGAGATCGCAATGAGGCAGATAGCACTGTGGCATTGATGTCCGGCGTCACGAGCATGGTGCTAGTTCGCTTCCACTCCGGGCCAACCAAGCCTCCCATTGCTCTGTGGGTCGGGAAATTGGTACCGGTATTCTCTGGAAAAAAAATCACTTTGCAATTCAACTGGGAACGCTCCAGACCAGCTATCTCAGGACAGCAAGGACAATTGCTCGACCAGGGTTCTACGATATTCAAGATGAAATAAAAATCTTCGAGTAGCAACCTAAGCCACACGTAAAAAGCTCGAAATTCTTCGTGGACGATGGACACGAGGAGACTGTTGGACGTGATAAGTGCTGAGATCGGCACAGTAGACGTGAAAACGGATCAAATAAAATTAAAAAAAAAATAAAATTACCATGAACGACTTTCTTTTAACTTCGGCATTGATTGATGATTCGATGTTTTTTTCAATAAGCAGACACGAGGGTGTTATTATAGAATTTACTAAGATAGAATAGCTGACGTTTCGGCGGTTTCGCCTTCTTCAAAGCCTAGAAAGGTCAAATTAAGATGCGATCTACTCAGCCAAACACCTTCATAACCCCAGCAGATAAAACTTAACAAATATATTATACCATCAGACACTCTAAGACGCCAACTAGTTCGTAACCGCCCATACGACCGTCTATGTACAACAAAAAACCTCATAATTTGCCCAAATGGTAGAGACGGTGATTGCATGAGATCGAGTACAGTCTATTTGATCTCTTGTAAAGCGTGCGGGGACGAACACGTTGGCGAAACGGGTAGACCGCCCTGCGTCCGCATGAAAGAACACCTAGTCGGTAAATCTAAACTAAAACAAAATGCTCCACTAGGCGCACATAGGATGCAGGAACACAACGGAAAAGATTTTGAGGTAGGAGTCACTATCCTTACGCAGGAATCGAAAACATCAGCGCGTAAAACTCTTGAAGCGTTTTGGATCAATTCCAAAAATTCAAAAATGAACCGCAAGGAGGAGTGTCTTGTCATCACGCGTGACTTGGCGCCATACCTCAGGCTAATCCAATGACCTGACACCGGCACAGCCCTCGCCCATGTATTACTCTGTGCGGCTGCTATCCATCAACTAACTTAAATACTTACAACAAATAAACGGTAGGTGTGTAAATGAAGCTGTATCTTATGCGAATACGAATTTATTTGTTAAGTTTTCTCTGCTGAGGTTATGAAAGTGTTTGGCTGGGTAGATCGCATCTTAATTTGACCATTCCAGGCTCTGAAGAAGGCGAAACCGACGAAACGTCAGCTATTGTATTCTAATAAATTTTATAATAACAACCTCGTGTCTGCTTATTGAAGAAAAACAAAAATAACTGCCACGACCGACTTTCTATTAACCTCGGCATTGATCAAGTGATTTTCTTCGTATTTTTGTTGAGCAAACGCGAGGTGTTACTATTCTTTGTTCACGATTAAGCTGACGTTTCGGCGGATTTCGCCTTCCTCGGAGCCTGGAAAGGTCAAGTTGATAGCAATCTACTCGGCCAGACGCCTCCATGACCAAACNTATTCTAATAAATTTTATAATAACAACCTCGTGTCTGCTTATTGAAGAAAAACAAAAATAACTGCCACGACCGACTTTCTATTAACCTCGGCATTGATCAAGTGATTTTCTTCGTATTTTTGTTGAGCAAACGCGAGGTGTTACTATTCTTTGTTCACGATTAAGCTGACGTTTCGGCGGATTTCGCCTTCCTCGGAGCCTGGAAAGGTCAAGTTGATAGCAATCTACTCGGCCAGACGCCTCCATGACCAAACGAAGAAACTCTAAACCAAGACTTCAATCACTTTGAACACAGCTTTGCACACTCACCGCTTCCTATGAGGTTTCCGCTAAGCATGTCACGCAGAGACCAACCGCACAGAAATCACATGGAAGTATAATGTGCCCCTCACATCAGAAAAGCAGTTTTATATACTGCCCTATATCACGCGTGATAATGAGGCATTCTTCCCTGCGGTTCATTTTCGGATTTCTGGAATTAATCCAGAGTGCCTCGAGAGTTTTTCGCGCCTGTGTTCTTGATTTGCGTGCGAGGATCGTGACACATACTTCGAAGTCGTCCTCGTTATGTCTCTGGGTCCTATGCGTGCCTAGCGGGGTATTTGGTCTATTTTTGCCGGCTAGGTGTTCTTTCATGCGGACACAGAGGGGTCTACCCGTTTCGCCAATGTATTCGTCACCACACATCTTACAGGAGATCAGATAAACTATACCCGAGCTCATGCAATCACCGTCTCTACCACTGGGGCAAATTATGCAATTTTGAGTTGCACATGGACGAAATCCGCCGAAACGTCAGCTTAATCGTGAACAAAGAATAGTAACACCTCGCGTTTGCTCAACAAAAATACGAAGAAAATCACATAAAAATAAATTAATCTATCGCGGCTTCCTGAATTTTGATGAAACGATTACGATGGAAGAGTAGCTAGAAATAACCGAAATGCATCAGAAACACCAACGGCTAAGCCCCACATAGGTCAACAGAAAGGAATTAGTCCTTCTCTACAATAACGCGCTGCCACGAGTCGCGTGCTCGAAGTAGAAAGGGTTCAACGAACTGAGTTACGAAACTGTGTTTATCATATCTGCAACATCTATGCAAAAATATTTTAGAAAACAAGATAAGACCAAAACTGCCTTCGTCGAATTCACCAGCTCAGGAACTCCAAAATTTCACACACATGAAGCACATAAAACCTTTTTTAACTGGCGAAAAGATGAAGAAGAAGCGGTTTATATTTCGATTAATAAAAGCTATTTTTCGATTTTGGCTTCTCACTGTCCTTGAGCGGTTGGTCACATTTTCATTCCCATTTCCATTTTTGATATCGGCTCCAATACCGTGTCCGTATGAAATTGTAGGAAGACCGAGCGAAGGAATCGCTGCCGAAAAGACACTTCCCTCGGATTCACATCATGGGAAAAATGGAGATGCCTCCCAACGGCTTACCGCTTCATCGTGGCTGGGAGGTGTTCCTGAGTGTCGGACTACGATGTGCAGCGAAAAATTCATCCCCTGGCAAAGTCTCCCAAGCTGAGAAAGAGTCCGACGTTCCCATCAGGAAGCTCATCTAGGAGTAAACCAATACCAGGATCCACCACAGTCCTGGTATGAAACTAGTTGCATGGTGCAAATCTTCCTCTGATTCACACAAGGGTGACGACGACATCTGGTGGTAATAACCTGGGAAAACTTTGGCCTGCCTGATCTCAGAACATCAGGGAACCATAATAGATAATGGCAAAACTCCGAAAAATGGAGATTATGCTGGCGCCAGCACAACCTGTGAGGACGGGCTATCGAAGTATCCAAGTAAGTAATAATTCCTTATTCATACGGTAACCAGATGTGCCTGCAGCTAAAGTTAGCCAATGTGTAACTTTTTATTTACACCTTACTATTTTTTCATAGAAGGATATCAAGTGAAATGCAACCGCGCTGTTGCTGAGGTATTTGCGAAGTTCAGATCCACTTCAGATTCGAACCTGTACTTACACTTTTTCGTGGTTCACGTGTTTCGCAATGCATTATCGAGACCCTTGCTTTGCTTTTCTTTTAGCCAGTTTTTTTACCCTAATTGTACCAATCATCCATCAACGTCAGCTGTACTCGCTTGTGTCGATGTTTTACAGATAACAGTATCAGACTCTTATCCGCTACAACGCTTGAGCCAAACCACCACCGTGGACGACGGGTACAACGCAAAGAAAAGAATAGCAAGTGCGAGGCAAAGAAACTAGTAGCAAATGTGCCGCAGTCCGAATAAATCGTGAGGACTAGTCCTTCAAGTAAGCAGCCAACTTTATTCTGAGTTAAAATATGCAGTTTTAGAAGTACAACCACAGTGATGCTGAGATATTCGCAAAACTTGGACCCTGGACCAGATCGAACCACGATTACCCTTTCATGGGGCTCGCGTGCTACACACTCCACCACTGAAGCCCTTGCTTTGCCTTTTCTCTCAGCTACTTTTCTATTTAACACTATCATCAGCAATCAACCGTTAGCGGGATTGATATGGAGAGAACGAATCGACATCGAATCCAGTTAAGCTAAGGATGCAGTCGAAATCGCAATGTTAACCTTTTATTTTCTTTGTAATATTGTTTTTCAAGGCAGGGTATGATGCAAATTACATTACAATTACATATAATTCACACCATACTCTGCCTGAAAAATGGTTTTAGGCAGCAAATAAAAGGTTAACATTTAAAAATAAAGGATAAAGTATAAAGCTCTCGGTGTTGGTCAATCGCTTAAGGATGCGCCATGTATTCAACTTCATTAAGCATCGTTGGAGGTGATTGAATGCATATCTGGTCCTCACAATGACTGGCCGTGGCCTACCGATATATCGGGCCAGTACTGCTATCCCCACAGACAAGTCTGGTATCAATTTGCCGACCTCAGAGGGATGGAAAGCTTGGTTGGCCATGGGTGAGGGGATCATTGGGATCATTTAAAAATACAGTTTGCAGTCCTCTATTAGTTTCCGAACAACCTTATGTATATAATCATCTCAACTATTCGATAAACAACATATCTTTAGGGGTCGATCAGCTCTAAATACCTTATAATTTATCCTTTGTAAAAACACATGTGTGCTCAAGAACAAAAAACCTTACTCCACCGAAAGAATGCTATTTAAACAGAAATCATTATGACGATGGTGACGACAATGGTGATGTCGAAGATGCTGGCCCGAATCATGAAGAAAGGCTATTGAAGTGAACAGTTATCGTGTTGTCGTTTTATACTCACATTAAAGAATTTGTTGAGTAAAAATCGCCCTCCGTCCACAGTAACTGCACTCAGGAAATAACGCATAATCGTAGGAATGGATGGAGGATGAAATGGAACCAAAGTGTGACCAGCGGTTTCCAAATGGATTTTCGACTCCAGTACTGCTCTCTGAAAGGAGACAGAACGTCATGAACAGAACATTTAACCAGAAACACAAATCATGTTAATGATTGGTAGCAAACATCAAATTATTGCGCTATGTCTAAGTTAATATTACACATTAAAATCGAAATTACTAAAGGCATTTTTGAATCTTTCAAAGGCAATATTAGTGCTAAAAGCGAGAGCTTCCAACCTAAAAGCTGAAAAATCAATTCTTCTCCTGTAATACGAAAAAGAACGGAAAAGATATATTTATTTATGTGACCTTATAAACTGATCTTCTTAAGATGACGCGAGGTTGTGGATCCTAGCGCAGGAATCAAAAACATCAACGCGCAAAACTCTTCAGGCGTTTTCGATAAATTTCAAAAATTCAAAGATGAACCGGAAAGACGAATGCCTCACTATCACGCGTGACCTGGCGCTCTATTCCAAAATGATATTTTGACCCCAGGGTTTGTCTTGCTCGCGACTCCACGTGAACTACGTGTGGGCCAGTCCCACACGCAACACCACGGTGAGTGGCCTTTCTGTTCAATTTGGCGTCTATTTGAAAGTTTGATCTTCATTAACACTTTAGCCTTTCTTTTCCACCGATTAATAAAAATATTCTAATATTAAATACGTTGAGGCTCTGAGGAAGGCGAAGTCGCCGAACGTCAGCCATCGACCAACAACATCAACAACAACGACAACGACAACGAAGATCTGTACCAACGTCGCGTCAGCTTAAGAAGATCAGTTTATAAGATCACATAAATAAATATATCAACTATGTATGCCGATGTTTATAGAAAGTCGGTCTTTCGAGTTATTAAGAACCGAAAAAATAATTAATAATAATTATAATACATAATAATAATCAGTAATAACAATTAATAGTAACAACAATTAATAATTACAATGATAACAATAGCAATAATAATAATAATAATACTTGGGTATTTAATTGGATGGCTCGTCCTCACTGATTGTGCGGGCCCCAGCACAATCTCCACCTTTAGGGCAATTTGCTGGTTTAGCCATCGTGGTTCCATAGAGTCCCGAAATCAGCCCAAGCAAAGTCTGCCCCGGGTCGTCACCACCAGAAGCAGTTGCGGTCCTCGTGGATCAGAGGGAGATTTGCCACCATGCGACTAGTTTGATACCAGGACGGTGGTTGATCCTGGTATTGGTTTACTCTTAGCTAGACTTCCTGATGGAAACGCCGGACTTCTTTTCAGTATGGGAGACCTTGCCAAGCGGATAAATCCTCCCGCTGTACATCACAGCCCGACACCCAGGAACACCTCCCAGCCACAATAAAGCGGTAAACCGTTGGGAGGAATAATCAGTAATAATAATAACGATAATTTTAACGATGCCGAGACATTTGCAAAACTCCGGACCGCAGGTGTCTGCGGTTGGGAACGAACGCGTTACTGTCCTATCCGTGGAGTAACGCGTTCACAACCACACCATGCGGGTCCTTCGTTTCGCCTGTCTCTCAACTAGTTCTATCGAGCTTTGCCATCAGCACTCACCCGCCAGCAGGATTGATCTGGGGTGCCCAAACTGGCAACGAACCCAGCTAAGCTGAGGTTGCAGTTATAATCACAAGTTTAACTTATTATTGAAACGCGTGGTGGTAAACGCGTTACTCCCCGGAAACGACAATAGTGCGTTCGTTCCCCACCTGCGGTCCGGAGTTTTGCGAATATCTCACATCATTAAAGTTATATTACGCAATGTATACCTTGTCGTTAAAAAGAATAGGTAGTAAGTAATAAGCTAAAATAATGATAATAATAATAACAATAGGAATAGTAATACATTGATAATAACAATGACAATAATGATAATAATAATAATAATAATAATAATAATAATAATAATAAATGATAGTGGATGGCTTAGTAGGTGGCCACTAGTCAGTCACTTGAATCGCTGGAACAGGAGTAAACCATCCGTCATCGACATAGTAACCAATTCGATACTTGGTTCCTTTTGCGTAAAGTTTCTCATTCCAGATCACTGGTGGCACGTAGGGATCCTGCTTATGAGTCCAATCATCACTCCACACCTGAACAGAATAGTTACAGAATCCTACTCTATACAGTAATGTTGTAGTTTACTATACTTCTATTTTCTACGGGACCTGATATTATACGTATCACAACATTGTGAAGATCCCAGTACTTCTTGTAGTCGACTAGTCCTCTCGGATCTATTATCCCACGAAGGTCTTCGAACCTTTTTACGTGCTTCGGTTACATCGGCTACCGCTTGATTAATTCTTCAACCTTGCTAACAACGCTGCTAAATTCTGGGTGGACTAGAGCAAGCGATTTTATTCAAGACAAGTCTGGTGCCAAGTTCCCTACAGGATGGGAGGCTTGGTTGGCCTGGTGACGAATTGAACCCCAGCGCCTGGTTAGGTTAAGTTGTCAGCGTAATGAATGGGATCACTATCACTGCGCTACCCGTTCCATTAATGTTATAGTTTAAAATAAAAGAACAAAGTGCTTAGCGTTCATATCCAATGCTTTTGTGAAGCGCCATGCATTCGACTCCATTCGTAGCATACTACTGGCCATTGATTGCATACACCCGTACAATAAACTGATTAGATTTACCGACTTACCAAATCAGTGTTTTCGTCCTCCCATATAAGTTTGGCACCTGTTTTCCGATCCGACAACAATGGAAGGATTTATGAGCACAAGAAGAAGGATCGAAATAATGACCATTAGGGTAATGCCAGGTACCTCTAACTACTGCACTACACATCCACGCAGCTCAGCATGGGGGAAAAAACATCACAAATACGATTTTTGGAACAGAAGGCAGCTGGCAGAAATTTTTTAAAAAAGAATGAACAAAAGGTAACCAGTTCCTGATGGTCTTGCAACGATAACAACCGCTTCGCCGCTCAGGCGCGTTGAGGAAAAAAAGAACGTCGGCAAAAACCAGTGTAATATGAGGGACAGTTCTCATTTTTTTAATTCATCGATTTGTGATTATATTTCTTTGGTTATCAGCTTTTAATCTAGTCATTACTTGTCTAAGAAATTCCACTGTGGTTTCGATATCCTTTGTCATTGGGCCGTCACTCGAATTGATCAATGGCCGACCAGGAACTGATCCACAGACCCCTCGATGCGAAAATCGTAAATGCGATGGCTGAAAAACATCCTAGAGGATGAAAAGGTGGATAAATGGAGAAAAGACGGAAGGAAAAGCAACACCTCCCACAAATATACACAATGTATGTTTCTAAACCATTTCGTTCTGCAGAGCATTCTTAAATTCATCCAAATCGAGCACTTTCCGGAAGATTTTACAAAATTCTAGATGTTTACTTCAAAGACTGTGAGAGTCATTCCTATAGCGAAAACGTTATCAAGATCTCTAGGCTTTTTTTAGAAGCAATAAAAACATCTGTAGGTGTTTCCACAACGTTCCTAACCTTTATACCAGCGATTCCTGTGAAATGACACGGCATCCTAATCGAACCTCCAACATCACCACCAATACCTAGAATCCATAGTATTTGAAATCTTGTGGAAACTATAACCCTGCTATTCCTCATTGCAAGAAATTCACGGGATTCTCACCATTAACCTAACCCTGCTACACACTACCTAGTTCGATGCATAAACCTACTCCTACGAGACATATAAACCGACATTTCAGTTGTTTCTGTTATTAAAAACCATTCTATTCAAAGCAAACGCTTCTCAGAATCCGTAGTGGATTGTTTTTTGAGAGTACTTCTTCCTAAACAAAGTTCTTCACAGCTGCTGTTTGTATAGGTAAATCTACCTCATTTTTGAAGTACAATGCGAACACTGTTGACATAGAAGGAGATTAAATTGATCAGGAAATATAGTATATAAAAAGATTAAAAACTTTATTCGTCTCAGTAACCTATTATCGATCCGTCTGCAGCTATAAGAGCAGCCTCGCCACCAGATGAACCACCGGGAGTTCGCGTCTCATCCAACGGATGAGTAGTAGTGCCTTAAAAAACGATGTAGAAAAAAAGAAAAAAAATAGTCGAAGCTTGATCTCAGTTTTCAAATATCTTTACCGTAGACAGGATTTGAGCAACAGTATGACAGAAGCGATTGCGGTACATTGGTCTGTACGAACGGTATCATTCCTACAAGAATAGATTTACTAGGGTGACAGTAATTTTTCCTGGAAAGGCCATGGCTGCAAGAACACCGTTATTCAATGTTATTTGATCGATATCGACTGAATATTGATTATAATGCTGTTTCGTCCACTTGAACTATGGAGCTTTGTGTTTGAATTCTCTAAAACTGACCTAAGTTCTTTATTTGTTCTACTAAAACAGAATCAACCTTAGTCGGTGAATTCACATCCTGCACAAATCCACGGGTTTGATCGTAACCTTCGAGCTATAAAAATCAATAAAATTCTGCGAAACAAAAACCCTAAGACCAATTAATACACTGACGACAATGTGTGTGTTTTTTTGAAACTTTACATTACTTACTTTACTGCTAAATTTTGTTTAACGCATAGAAATGTTGTAGTTATTGACTAGACTTAGTCTCATGAAGCCACTAACAGAAACTTAGACGTAATCGCTCATGTGTGAATATTAAGGAATATATAACTAAAACAATACAAAAGCACAAATGAGTCATATATGGCTCATACCGTCATCATTGGGTTAAGTATACGAAGGCATTTGGCATCTCACATCGAATTCGAGGAAAAAAAACAGTAGTGATTGATATCTATGAAGTTACCGGCACACATTCCTTCAGACTAACTGGAATACCGAAAAAAACGGGCTTCACGAATCCCTTGTTACGAGCCTTGCTATCCCAATCTAATGCCCATTGCTCAGCTTCCTAGGCAAAAAACCGATCAGTAAATCAATAAATAGTCGAATGAATGATTATATTTATATGTGAACACACGAACTAAACCTCCAACTAAATTTATATTGTTCACTATTTTTTTTAGTAGAAGAGAAGGTGATAGTTTTTTTTTCTAGATTCCAGACCTTCGGAAAAGGATTTTAAAACGCCCTTGAAGACCTTTGAAAATGTTCTAGAAATGTTTTAGTGGCAATCCAACGGCTTACTGAAGTTGTGGAACTTTTGAAATCATCGTTTATGTGACCTTTTTCTATTTTTCTATAACATAGCTTTCCATTTTCTCTTACAAGACACAACGCTTGCAGAAGCAATCAAAAGAAAAAAAACTGGGATCCATCTCACCTCTACAAACATCACGACACAGTTTGTCTTCTCATGGGCTTTTACCGCCATCCACTGATAACTTCGTAACACTTCAATACAGGAAACGTTTCCAGACTGAAGATTTTCTGAAGCAAATAGAGGCATTGTTCTCATTTTCATTTACTTTCTATTTTTTCTTCACGGAATGATACAATGCTAAGCACAGCCACAAGGATGCTGAGATGTAAGCAAAACTTGTAACCCCAGATGGGCTTCGAACCTGGGATTACCCTACTACGGGCTCACGCGCTATTAACCGCGTCAACCAAGGCCGTTTCTTTGCCTTTCGTTCAGTCATGTTTTCATTCCATCTCTGCTATCACCAACCACTCGAGTTAAGACAAGTGAAGACATTGTGATTTCGATTACAGGCTTAGCCTAACTGGGTTAGATTCCGATTTGTGCTCTCCATATCATTCTCAATGACAGCTCATTGGTGACAGAATCGTTAGGATACAAACATGGCTGAGAGAAGGGCAAAGCAAAAAGACTGAGTTGGTGCAGTCGATAGCACGTGATCCACCAGTAAGGGAAGTCACGGGTTCGAAGCAAAACTGGGGTTCCAAGTTCTGCTAATAAAAAACATTTTCTCAAAGGAATTCATTCAAATTCTCAATCTTATCGATGTGAACTGATAACGATGGAAGATTGCGATAAACGGCGGTACTCTTAAAAGAAAACGATAAACGGCGGTCGTCAATGTTGTTGACCTTTCAGTTGCTTGAACCTCCAGGAGACAATCTGCTCTCTTCGTACCGAATCGATTGACATTGCCGATTTCAGGATGAGATCCTTTGACGTTTCTCGCTCATGTTGACGTTTTTTCACGATTTTATGAAGTTCTCGTTGTCTCTGAATCGATACGTGTATAGCGTAAAGAGCAAGGAGATAAAGTGCGTGAAGTAGGAAACAATAGACCGTAAAAAACCCAAATATGTACGAAAAGAAGCGATAAAAATCGTAAAAATGCCCGTGAATATGTCTACTATGCCAAAAAAAGACACATGGGCACTGGTAGCGCTGTGGGTGAAGGGGCATTCAAATACTCAAACACACTTTCGTTCGACCCTACTCCTCGGCAAAAGTCGTATTCTCCGTCACTTCGGGATCAGCAAATTGGAGCCATACTTCTCTGAGAGAATATGAAACACGCATCTCGATATGTCGACAGGTCCCCGAAACTCAGTGTAAAGGTCCAATACGGAATCAAGCCACAATGTTACGAATAGCATTGGATGCATAGCACATTCTTGAGGGATTTATCAACACCGACCATTTTACGCTTCGTTATTTGTTGTAAAAACGGCTATCCTAATTAGTTTTTGGCATCCCTAAATTTTCAAAAAGTTATATTACCTGCTGCCAACGGACGAAACGATATGAGAGGTAGCTAATAGCGCTAAGAAGAAGTACAGTAAAGAAAAATGTCATTCGTAAACTCCAATCTCCAGGATGGAATTGTATTAGAGGTCTCTGGAAAAGTAGTTGAAAATTGTACAAAATAAAAAATCAGTGTTTGAATTCATCTAGAAGAAAATCGGTGACTAGCAAGGAAAGCAGGAAATTAATAGCCAACTTAACCACAGAATGAGTGAAAAAGAGTAATTTTCAGTATCACTGCGCTTAACAAGGTTGGTATAAAACTTTTATTCGGCTAAGCTTTTGGCGCTTTCGCCTTCTTCAGAGAGCCGCGTTGATTCGAGTCGATGGTTCACAGCTGGTCGTCGTCGCGTTGTGTTTGTTGTGGCATAGAGTAGAATCAAGTGGAGTGAGCGCACCGCTCGAACGGACAAGTTCACTCAGCGGTGCCCTTTTATAGACGACAGGTTTTAACTGATTCCGGTCTCCAATATGATCTACTTTGGACAGGCAGTGGATCCTGCAGCACTCGCTACTTCGTTTACTGGTACGTATTGTAGTAAATAATATCTTAAAAAGGGATCCTATATAAAAGGGCGCCGCCGAGTGAGATTTTTTATTCGAGCTGTGCTCCCTCCTCAGAACTCGACTCGATGCGACAGCAACCACTTATGGACCGTCGACTCAGATCAATGCGCCTCTGAGGAAAGCGAAGACGCCGACGTGTCAGCCGAATTAAAGTTAGTACCAGCCTCATGTTAGCTCAATCATGCAAAAAATTATTGATTATTGTTGACGAGGCTTAATGTGAGATAAAATAGTCAGTTTTGAAAATAAAGAAAAGAATAAACAAGAAAATCAAAAGAAAAGCAGGGAGAGAAGACAGATAATGGATACATTTATGAGATGAACAAAAAAAGTAAGAAGTCAAAGAATAAAAGAACAGGTTGAAACAGAGATGTAATGCGATGAAACCAGTCTAGTAACGCTGTAGATTTTTGTTGAGAGAAATCTATGGGGATCAAAACCTTTAAAACTCCTTAATCTTATTGCTGTAATAAAATTGAGCAAACGTATTGAAATTTTACAAAATAGTTGTTCCCATTAACCTGCCCTGCGTCATGCACTAGAAGAAGTGAACTTACTTGGTCAGGTATCTCTCAGGAAAATATGAGAATGCCGCCTAACGGTCTGCAGGTCTGGCTGACGAGCGACTACCTACGCGCCATAACTACTCCGCCTATTGACCCCACTATCACTACTGGTGAGGGCCTGGTAGAGTTAGCGTATTCTACAAATAGTGAAGGCTATATAGCGCAATGATTACAGGACAGTACGCGTGTAGCGCGGCGGTTGAAGGCGCCCTGCAATTCACATGGGATCGATCCCGGAGCACCAGGCTCACCAAGGCCTCCATCCCTCCGGGATCGGCAAATGGGTACCATACTTGTTTGAAAAGATTGCAGTACCGGCTTGATACATTGGTATGTCACCGGGAGTCCGCGGATCTTCCTCAAATGAGGGACCGCCACAGCCAGTTTAACACGAGGCTACGTGGTGCATCACCAGGTGGTGGATAGGGAGTTAATCGTGGACCAAAAGCGACCTTTGCTTCCCTGAGACGTAAGTGGATCTAGGGGATGGACTCGCTGTTTATGCCGCGTCGATTTGGCACATACTGTCTGTATTTGCTAAGCTTATTCACGCATGCGTGTGTAGGTGCGTTCTCGCTTATGCAGATTGTATTCTATGAGTCAATTCGGCCAAAAGCCTAAAATCAAGTGACAACGAAGTATATGGGAGGCGGTTAAGAGTTGCCTCCAACAAATAAGCTCCATGTCCACTTTCGTAGAGCCTGGCAAGCTACCCGTGTGTATATCCAGCTCCCACATTCACAGCCCATCAAGCTATACGTGACTATCAACAGGCTAAAAACAGTAAAAGAAACGGCCTTCATTCCATGACCCCGAAAGAGCCCGCTATTCGGCAGCGGTTGGATAGGAGGAGTACGGGGAGGCTGCTAAAATCCGAGGGCCAATGAAAGCTACCTGGATTGCAAAGAACTAAGGTGACGATCTGTACCTACAATGCACACACGCTTGCATCCGAATCCTCGATAGAAGACTTGCTCATGTAAGCAAGAAAGATAAGGTACGACGTGGTGGGCCTGGCCGAGACGAGACGACGCCACTCATTCAACGCCGTCTATTACACCGGGGAAGAACTGCTCCTCCGAACATGCGAAAGTAGTGGAGTCGGCGGCGTCGGCGTTCTCGTCGACACGAGTTTGTCCATGCACATCGAATCATTCAAACAGCTCACAACCCGAATAGGACGTTCACGATTAAAAAGATGTGGATCAATACCAGCATTGACAACCTTCGTTGTCAATGACGACCTACACGCCGACATCAAACTATGACGAAGAAGAAGTTGAAGCGTTCTATATAGAATTAGAGAAGTTCTACAGAGAAGACCATACATTCTTCAAGGTCATCATTAGAGATTTTAACGCCAAGATTTGACCAAGAAGAACGTCTGAAGAACGTCAAATTAGGACCCACGGACTAGAATGGAACGAACAGGGTGAGCGTAACAACCAAAGCCATCCATGCTAACTCGCAATTCCAGAAGCCCCACCCTCAACGTTGGGAGTGGTAGTCTCCCAATGAAGAGTACCATAACGAAATAGACCACATCATAGTAAATAGAAAGTTTTGCCCAACCGATGTCGCTGTTGTCCCAAAATTGTACACGGAACCAGACCATCGCCTCCTTCGTGTAAGATTCTATTTCTCGCGTAAAGGAGAAGAAGCAGCTAAATTCCAAAACTGAAGTCCCATAACCACCGTAAATTGGGATTTCTTCAAATCATTAGCCGGCTGGTGGGAAGATACCTTTGTCGATAACATCGAGGTAGAATACGATCGGCTCATTCAATATCACGTTAGCACTATGAAAGCTGAGAGTTCGAAAATCACCAATAGACGTCTGTCTACAGAATCACTCGAGCTGATACGCCACCGTGGAATTACAGGGGCTGCAGGCAACGTCGAACTAACGTCCGAACTTATAAAACAATGCAGACAGGCGATAAAAGAAGATCTTAAAGGAAGAAGAGCAGCAGTAATGGTCGAAGCTGCTGAGTCTGCGAAAAGCATTCGCAAAGCCCACCGAAGCTTCGCCAATTACAAGACCAAGATGATTGCCCAGACGGAACAGTTACAGCGTCCAGAAGGGCAATGGAGAAAATCGTTTACGAATACTACTCACATTTCTTTAATTACCACGTCCACCTTCCATCATATAAAGGAAAGGTGGATGGATATGTTGTGCCACCGATTCTCCCTTCCGAATTCCGATATGCCGTTTCGTTTTCAATTTTTCATTCGAGTCATCTTAAACAGGATTGACAGAACACTGGACGAAGGACAGCTATGTGAGCAAGCAGGGTTTCGAAAAGGATTTAGTACGATGGATCACATCCACACGATAACAAGACTCATTGAAGTATCGCGAGAGTACAAAAGATCGCTCTATCTCACTTCCATCGATTTACAGAAGGCCTTTGATTCAGTTGAGCTAGAAGCAGTTTTGGAAGCCCTTGATAATCAAGGAGTCCATACTCAGTACATAAAGATTCTTCGTGAGCTGTATAAAAAATTCACAACCAAGATATCGCCATTCTACAACGATATTAACATTGACGTCAAAAGAGGGATTATGCAAGGCGATACCATCTCGCCAAAATTATTTATCGCCGCCCTCTAGAACGTCATGCGAACATCGGAATGGGATAATATGGGAGTGAAAATCGATGGTCGGCTGATACATCATCTTTGCTTTGCTGATGACATCGTCTTTATAACACGAAACATTATCCAAGCGGAACGAATGATTGCCGACTTTGACAAAGCCCGTGGAAAGATTGGTCTTCGACTAAATCCCGCAAAAACCATGTTTATGAGTAACGGATTGGTTTGGCATGCCACATTCACGCTCAACGGAACGAACAACATGTTGAACGACTTAGCTGCAGAGTTGAGCAGAAGGAAACGAACGGATTGGCGAGCTTTTAATAGCATCGAGGATGTAGTGAAGAGGGCAAAGAACGACCGACTCCGTGCCCACCTTTTCGTCTCAACGGTACTTCCTGCCCTAACGTATTCGTCAGAAACCTGATCGATGCGTAGCCAGGATGAAAGTTCGCTCGGCGTTATCGAACGCGCAGTCGAAAGGACGATGCTAGGAGTATCCCGTTCCACACAAGTAAGGAATGAGATCCGAAGCTCCTACCTGTGTCAACCATCAAAAATCAAGGATGCCCTTCTGTACGCCAAACAGTCAAAAATAAGGTGGGCTGGGCACGTATGGCGTATGAATGACAACCGATGGACAAGAGTCGTTAGTGGCTGAATTCCTCGGGGTGTCAAACGCACTGCAGCAAGATGGTCAGAGTTCTTCACGAAAAGCGTAGAAGAAAGATATCACACTCGGCGAGTTTCTAGAGCGAGCGGAACCCACTGGGCTACTCTTGCACTCCAAGGGGAAAAATGGAAGATTTATTGGCGCCCGCTCAAGTCGCTCGACGATCAACGGGGCTACAGGTGACAAGTGACCTCCAACAATGCTTAATGAAATCGAATGCATAACGCATCACTCAGAAATTGATCATGCCAAGACCTTTATCCTTTTTATCCCTTAATGCTTATAGGAGCACTGCATCAGAGATCTGCTCGTTGGTTTGGCTCTGCACAGGGAAAAACCATGCCTGTATTCCTCCGGAATAGGCCAATTGGTTCTAGGTAAGTCGTCGAGTGTGTAGCACTAACTCTATACATCTTTAAGGTTACCCGAACAGTTTTGTTGTTCAAATACGATTTTAATCACCTTCATGATGTTATGGTTGGATTTGAAGGCATGAGGTCTTTCTAAGGGAATGATCAATGCCAAAAGTTTATTCATCACGCTTTATCATTTGAGCACAAATACGTTACATGAAAACACACATTCACCTCATAAGCTGGAAATCAACGTTTTCATATATTTTAAGAGCACTGGAGTGGTTTGTGTTGTAACAGGATAACAACAACATCACAAACTCTAAGTTAACAAGTAAGCTTACTTCTAATGTAAAATTAACCATTTAGAACACCTTTAAACGAAGTGCCATTTGTTTTTGATGGAAAGGCGTAGGCAGTGGTTGCCGTGGATCGTCGACGAGAATCCGTCGGCAACATTTCATGCCAATCTTCACCCACTAAGATGAATCTTTTTCCGATGGGCTCCAAACCTCGCCGTCATCACCCACATTGCTGAACGCACACGATCGACAACGACAACAATCAGTTAGCCAACCAGTCAGGGAAGGGCTCGATTGTGAGTCTTGTTCTTTACGATGCACCAAATGACAGCTGTTCCAGTTTTCGAAGGAATAATGTACTACTACATCGCTATTCTTAAAATTCTGGTGAAGAGATGTGCTTTTCAGACTTAATACTATCTGCCGCTCAGATTTAACAATGAGAGTGGTAACTGCTTTACTGCTCTGAATCGTGAAGACGATAGTAGAACATCCAGCTTTCATTAACCCCTCAAAAATCTTCCATGCATTAAGTTCAATTCGTAGCATCGTAGACTTGATTGAAACCATATTTATCCCATTATTGAAGGCTCACCGATGTATCAAACCTGTGTTTTTTTTGTTCTCGTAGTCTTATATCTTATACCAATCTTCTAACTAATGAAGGTTTGCTTTACTCAGAATTAGACTTAGAGTCGAAACAATTCCCAGGTATGGATTTCAGATCACCTCTAACATTTTCGTTGTCTAAGACTTATTCTACATTCAAATAGTGAAATATCTACACAAGATGTCAATTATCAAACAGTAGCTTCTTCTGATGTGTTTTATTCTGGTGCAGTAGTGCATGCAGAACTCCGTCTAAACCCAAGTAAAAGTATGTTCTAGAGAAAAAGCTAAAACTGGTCGTCCCTATGGTTCCGCGAAATGATTAGTCAACAAAAAAATAGAGTTGCTTTGAAGAATCAACTTCATGATGGATAATGAATGAATCGAATAGGGTAAGAGCAAAAATCAACGATGAATAAAATACTTCAGAAGAACCGTGGACTATCGACTCAGATCACCGGCTCCGATGAAGACGAAGACGTCGAAGCGTTAACTGAATAAATATCATGTATCAACCTCGTGCAAGCTTATCAAGGAAATAATAATAATAAATAAAATATTCGTAGGTCTTTGTTATAAATTTTGTCACTCTTGAAACCCCGAACGAAACGCTTCAGTCTCAGAGAAAATTTCCTCATCGAGAAAAAAATTGCAAAGTCAAAGAACATATGCTCCACTAGAAGCAATTTCTTGTCTACTAGTTGCAGAGCACTGCACTGGCAAAAAGCTTTACTAGTGTCATAACCTCATAAAAAGTACAGAATTTGTTTTTTTTAAATGTAACTATCATTTCATCATCATTACGTAATCATCAAGGGTGCGTATGGCGCGGTGGTCGAAGGCGCCTTGCAACACACAAGTGAAATCGATCCTCGCGTCAATGGCCCACCAAGCCTTCCATATCTCCGGGGTCGGCAAATTGGTACTACACTTGTCTAGGAGAATAGCAGCACTGGCTCGATGCATTTGTAGGCCACCGCGAGGCATTGTAAAGGCCAGATGTGCGTTCAATCACCTCCAAACGATACTTAATGAAGTCGAATGCATAGCACATCACTCAGAGATTGATCAACGCCGAGAGCTTTATCCTTTATTTCATTTTTATCCACTAAATCTAGCAGATATTACGAGATAAGAAAGGATTATCGAGCAAAGTGTATATTCATAGCTTCGGAAATGTACCAAATGTGACGGTGGCAAGTACAATCACTGATAGGAAAAAAAAGCTCACCTCACATCTTGGAAATTTGTGAAATCTAATGACGAAATTACTATTTCTGATAAGAAGAAGTTCAAGTTATACTCTTGGAATGTTATGAAATGTTATTATAACTGATATATAGGTGACTATGGATCCATGAAAATCACAGGTTAAGTTTACACAGAGAATCGTAAATCGATAAGCGCTGTTCTATTTATTTGGCCGATCGGCAAACAGTGTTATCTGTAACTCCCAAGTCCGACTTTCTATTAACCTCGGCATTGATTGAATATATCTTTCTATTTCTGTTCAGCAAACACGAGGTGCTATTTTATTTTTTTTTTATTTACGAACAAGCTGACGCTTCGGCTGATTTCGCCTTCCTCAGAGCCTGGAAGGGTCACAGCAATCCATTCGGCCAAACACCTCCATAACCAAACAGAGAAAACGCCAAACCAAGATTTTAATCACATTTAGCATAGCTCTGCACACTCATCGCTTTCTATGAGTCTTCCACTGAGTATGTCGCGTGAAGGCCGACCGCACCAAATTCACATGGCAGCGTAATGTTCCCCTCCCATCAGAATAACAGGTTTATATACTGTCCAATATCGCGCGTGATAACGAGACATTCCTCCCTGCAGTTCATTTTCGGATTCTTGGAATTAATCCAGAATGCCTCTAGAGTTTTGCGCGCTTGTGTTCTCGATTCTTGCGCGAGGATCGTAACCCTTACTTCAAAATCTTCTCCGTTATGTTTCTGCGTGCTAAGCGTACCTAGTGAGTACTTGGCTTACGTTTGCCGACTAGGTGTTCTTTTATTGTCCCCGCACGCTTTACAAGAGATCAAATAGACTGTACCCGAACTCATGAAGTCACCGTCTCTACCATTGGGACAAATTAAGCAATTTTGCGTTGCACATAGACGGTCGTATAGACGGTTACGAACTAGCTGGCGCCTAAGATTATTCGGTGGTATTTCGATTATCGTTACCGAATTCTCTAGATTAGCCCTTCTTAAACAGCGTTTTATAGCTGCACTTACTTCATTTGAAATAAAGGGCAGTATAAACGAGACCTTGTTGTCGCTAGAGTTATCGTTGGGGTACCTGTGGTTTCCTCTACACCTATCTCGAGCTGCGGTTTCGTAGCCATTAAAAATGGCTATTTGTCGCGCCAAGTTCAGGGACTCCTCTCTCTGCTGTCTTCCTGTACACACGCTGGTAGCTGTTCGATACATGTTTCTCACAAGCGCCCTTTTCGTGTCAGAGGGATGAAAGGAGAGGTAATGAACTAGGTTGTTTTTACTAATTGGCTTTCGATAACACTTCGTAATGTAGCCGTTTTCTGATAGGCTAATTTGCACGTTCAGAAATGGAAGCCAGTCTTCTTTTGGTTTCTCTCGGGTGAATTTAATATACTCTGACTGTGTGTTCAACAACTCGTAACATCTGTCGATTTCTTCTTGCGTTGAACAAATGACCAAACAGTCATCTATATATCTACCATCTGTCTACCTATCTATATATCAGTCTATCTACCTTAATCACTATCGCGTTAAGAGATACTGCTCCAACCTCACTGAAATACAAAAACGTGGTATGCGGGAGGTACGAGAGCTGATAAGATCAAAAAACATAAGACTATCGGTTAGTGATAAGGGTGGAGAGTTCGTTGTAATTCTNTGTCTACCTATCTATATATCAGTCTATCTACCTTAATCACTATCGCGTTAAGAGATACTGCTCCAACCTCACTGAAATACAAAAACGTGGTATGCGGGAGGTACGAGAGCTGATAAGATCAAAAAACATAAGACTATCGGTTAGTGATAAGGGTGGAGAGTTCGTTGTAATTCTCCATCAGTTAAATGTTGAGATAGCGGAAAAGCACCTTAAAGATGCTTCCCTTTATCGTCTGAGAAGGAATTTAAAAGTCAATACCGAAAGTTAGACAACGAATGGGTTAAAATGGCAAGAGCGGCAGGGTTAAAACCATCAGTTATCTCTCATCTTACTCTACTGTAGATATATAGTTGACTGCTTGGTCATTTGTTCAACGCAAGAAGAAATCGACAGATGTTACGAGTTGTTGAACACACAGTCAGAGTATATTAAATTCACCCGAGAGAAACCAAAAAAAGACTGGCTTCCATTTCTGAACGTGCAAATTAGCCTATCAGAAAACGGCTACATTACGAAGTGTTATCGAAAGCCAATTAGTAAAAACAACCTAGTTCATTACTTCTCCTTTCATCCCTCTGACACGAAAAGGGCGCTTGTGAGAAAC